ATCCGCAGTTATTTGGAATCAGTCTTACAACTTTCCTAACGGGAAGTCCCTCACAATACATACTGTGCTAAAGGTGCACACGAGTATACAAGGATTTGAAATAATTTGACTTTGTTCTGGCCCGCCATGTAACGGCATGAAAAAAATTTGGCCTGATGCCAGACTTCTTTGCCAACCCCTGATTTACCTGAAACCAGGTAGCTAGCAGGCGGGGATGACACCAGGTGGTTAGTAAGTGTCAAATGCAGTACGCTTTGTCACAGTACGCACATGCTGGAAAGGGGAAAACTGTGGCCGTAAATTCTGCAAGCAAGGAAAGTGGGTGAGAAGGCATTTTACAGCAGAGCTTCTGGCTTCATAAACGGTCGTCAAATATATGCCAAAGAATAAAAACCAACTCATCGTAGGCATGGAGACTCTTAAAAATTGTCATTTAAAGGCAGGGGTAATGTTTTATCCTGTATTACCCATTATTCATATTTCTAAATAACTAAAAAGAGATCTTTAGTAATATTGTTATATATATTTTTCTTTTCTTCTGGTAGTTACTGCTTTATTGTTACAGCAGTATTTCTATTTTTTCTATGTTAAAGACGAGTTTATTGTTAACTTCTTTGAATACAAGAGTTCTTAGAGACAAGAGGAAAGCAGTATTCTTATTTTGTAACAATTGCCCACTGCAAGAGACTCACTCATGTGACGCTGATGCCACCTTCTGGTCAAACCAATGGGGGGCAAAGATTATATTCAGCTATGGTTCTAATCGATCTGGTGGTGTAGCCATATGCCTCAATAAATGTCTAGGGAAAGTAATCACTTGTAAAGCTGATGGATTTGGTCACTGGCTTGCTGTTGTGTTATTATTTTGATGAACACTTATGGCTTTAATGGTAGTAATCAGAACAAAATGCTGTTATCAGAAGTTACGGATGTAATTACTGAATATAAGGAAATATATCATACTAAACTTATTTTGATTAGTGGAGACTTAAATCTGACACCTGGCAGATGGCAGGATAGATTCAATTCAATTCAATTCAATTTTATTTATATAGCGCCAAATCACAACAACAGTTATCTCACAGCGCTTTTCATAAAAGAGCAGGTCTAGACCGTACTCTGTGATGATATTTACAGAAGCCCAACAGTTCCCACCAAGAGCAGCACTAGACAACAGAGGCAAGGAAATACTTCCTTTTAAGAGGCAGAAACCTCGAGCAGAACCATGGCTCAGGGTGGGCAGCCATCTGCCTCGACCGGTTGGGGTGAAGGAGAGAGAGAGAGAGAGAGAGAGAGAGAGAGAGATGTAAGGAGAGAGAGGGAGAGAGAGAGAGAGACAGATGTCCTTCTAAATACAATACAAACCACTGGAACACTATTAACTAAAAGACATTTGGAGGGATAGGAAACTAGATGTCAATCAATTCTCATGGGTCCAACCAAATGGTAGTAGTATATCCAGAATAGATTTATGATTAGCAACTCCAGGAATTTCTTGCAATGCCTCAAATGTATCAATTAGTAGTGCATCTTTAACTGATCACTGTGTGATAAATCTTTAATTAAATCCAGATAATAGGCCCAAAAATAAAATATATTACTGGAAATGTAATGCAGATCTCCTAAAAGATGAGGAATATAATAAAATTATCAGAAGTTTGATAGAGAAAATTTTTAATGATACGCATATAAGCAATTAAAGGCAAGGGAGTTTTCAATACAATACAGTAAATCCAAACATAGCCAATAAAAGCAATATGAGATCCAATTGGTACAGGACATTAATAGATACTGTGATAAAACTCCAATGCTGATAAAAGCAAATTCATTAACCTACAAGCCAAACTAGATCATTTATATCTTTTAAAAAAAGCCCAAGGGGCTTATGTAAGGCTAAATGGATAGAGGAATGGGAGAATCTTATTTTAGTGTATTAGAGAAAAGGAGACAAGAGAGAAAGATAATTAATTTATTAATGATCAATGATGCAGAGTGCAAAGATCATAAAATAATATCTGAAGAAATGTATAAATTTTACTCCAAACTTTATGGCTCTAAATATTCTAGAAATGACTCAGATATTTTCCTTGGTGGTTTGAGGTCGTAAGATAGATTTAGCCTTTAAAGTAATATGTGACGCTGAGATCAGAATGGCAGAATTAAATGAAGCAATTAAGAGAATAGCAATAGGGAAAGCTCCAGGACAAGATGGCCTGACATCCAATTTTTACAAATTCTTCTGGGTTGATCTGAAGGAATATTTATTGGAGGCTTAAAGGACATTTTGAGCAATGGGACACTTACACCTACAATGAAACAGGCACTAATAACTAATTCCCAAACAAGGCAAAGACAAAAGATATATCAATAATCCTTGCCCTATCACCTTATTGGTATTAGATCTGTTGGACTATAAGCACTTAATTAATTGGCAATAAAACCATAACGTTAGCTTAAAGCATGGAAGCATCAGCCAGCTTAACTTTTACTGCCCTGGTAGAAAAAACATGTAAGGTTAGTTGGATTGGTTTATTCTCCAACGCTGTGCTTTGGCTTGTGGTGTAAAATATGTAGTTGGATTAATTTCATAGTTAATCTCTCTCTCCAGCACTCTGTTTTGGCATTGTTACCTTCATGAGACAATCAGCTGATCACTAATTGGCAATAAAATGGTAGCTTACAGCTGGAAGCTCAGATCAGACAGCTAAAATTTTACTGGTAGAAGAAATATGTTGTTGGATTAGTTTTATGTAGTTGATCTCTCCACCACAAGCTAAAATTATGGCTCTCAGTACTAGGCCTACTTTGTGTTTCTGTTGTATTTTTAAAAATTAAAAAAGACATTTTGGTAAGATTTGCAGACTGCTTATCTAATTAAGTAAAGTGAGAGGAGCCTTGATCCTCACAAGCCAATGATTTTGTAAAATTCATGTATTATGTGGTTTATAATGGGCTGTGGTGCAGAAACAGTGAGGTTTACATTGTCCTGTTATCTGTCAGTGGTCATACTTGGTGCACTAGCTGTGATAGTTTTGAGATGTTCTTCATATATGTTGGTATGTTAGTCCAGATGAGCCAACCCTCCCAAGTTTTTCTTCTCAACCCTCACCACTAGATGTCACTAAAACTTACACACTGAACCTTTAAGAGACTGAGTAATACCCCCAATGAAATTTAGAAGTGTCCCTTTAAGAAAGAGGCATAACTGAACAAAAGAAAGTACAAGACAAACTGACATCAGAAATATACACACATTTATTTACAGATACGTTTGCATAGAAATTTAAAAATCCCCCCCCCCCAAAAAAGTTTATAGTAAACAAATTTAGGAAATATTATTAAATGCTGCATAATTTAACATAAGCAAGGGTTCACTTGTCAGAATCAATGCTTACAAACAGTTGTTTTTCACCTTTATCATATACATAAATAAGATTTGTATGCGGTTTATTCCAACAGGTGGAATCATTTCACTTTGCCAAGCAGTCGTCACAATCGGTTTACATTACATCATCTTCTCATTATGGTCATCACTATCTCCACCACCATTTCATGTGATACAGCAATTATATCAAAGTCAGCTGACTTTCTTCATGATGTCTTGAAAATTCAACTGCACTGTACGCAGCGTAGGACAGATAGTGTTACAGTTTTATATAAACAGACACATTTTGGTACAGTTATAGCTCAACCCTGTAAGCCCTGGTGAAACCAATTCAATTGGTTTTATCAGAAACAGTGTTGTGGTGACCTCTTCATTATTATTGCTGCTCTGAATAGTAAGAAAAAAGCAGTGCAAATTGAATTAGCTTACTGTATTAATATTTTAGTGAGATACATTCTATTTTGTTTGTTGTTATTTTACATATTTCAGAATGTATGTATATATATTATATGTTCTGTATAAATGGGAGTCTTTCTTAAATCTAGAAAAGTTGCTAAAAAATTATTTTCTGCAGTTGTATTATATTCCTATTGTGCTTTAACTGCTATATAAATGATTTTAATTACAGTTGTTCTGCTTTAGTTCATTGTTGTTGTCGAGTGTTTAGAGGAGACTTTTTGAAGTTCCGCCACTCACTATCAAGACCTCCTGCTGTCCAGTCAGATGGTTTATCCATTGTCATCCTGCAGGGGCCACAAAAACCAGTGCCTTTAAATGGATGGAGTGAAAAATGTTTCACTTCCATCTTCCAGAGACCAATGTTCTGCTTATTCATTGTAAAACTTTCCTGGAAAAAATAAACCCACTCTTGTCACCTAGCTGACCATGTGACCTTTGACCCCAAGATCCCCACAGCAGAAAGTCTGACAGGCTGGCCTCATGCCTCCAGCTCTGACCCTCTGCCACCATGACAACTCTCTACAGTCCATCCGTCTACATCTGAATGCCATTAAAGAATCTCCTCTTCTGTACAAACATCTTACAAAACATTTTCTCTACATTTTGTTGTATCATTAATGACAAAAAGAAAACGGAGTAACAATTTCTGTAGACTTGCAAAACTATACCTCCACAGTGGTTTCAATTATTTAGAACAGTACATCGCATTGGTGCACTATAGTATAATTTCACTTGTCCAGCTTTGCTGATAATTAAGCTAAATCTAAACTTCAAATGAATCTCAGCATGTCCAAATATCTGAAACCGAATGTTTTATGTTCACAGTTGCGTCTAAAAACTACAGTGAGACCAAACACGGTGGAGGCAACTTGTGCTGACTGTTACAAACCTGTAGCAGCGTAGCTTACTGGCCCACAGCAAAAAAAGCTGTAATGGTGACAAGGTTGTTTAAGCTGCAGTGTGCCGGAAGGAAAAATTTTTTTTTCCCTGAGTTGGTTCACCAGTTGGGTGAACCAGCGGGGACTCTCGCACTCAGTCTATACACACACACACACACTCACACTTTCTGTCACTCTGTCACATCCCTTCCTTCTCTGCCTTCCACATTAACCTACCGTCTATAGATGGTAGGCGTGCACATGCTTGTGTGTGTCTGTTGTGTGTGTGTGCTTCCCTCTTTTTTCCGCCATGGCCCATCTCCTAACTGTACATTAAGATGTTGTGATTGGGTGTTGACTCGGCTGGTGTTGTCCGAGCAGTGAAGGGCACATTAGTAGATGTAGATCTGGTTATAAATTTGGCACAGAAAGGCTTTACAGCAGAAATGATCACAATGAGACTGCAGTGCAAACTGGTTGACACACACCCCCAAATGCATGTGTTGCTGGTTGGAAAGAAAAGCAGGTTGATACTGTATGTTTTATAGTATGTATAGCTGGATTAGTTGCAGTGGCCCAGGAGTCTTTATTGCGAAAGCTATGGCTGCAGAGATTGAGCAAAGGGTGTCAGGGTGGTTATAGCATGTGGGCTAGTTGCTAAGAGGGTGACTGATGTGTCCTGTGGCCCTTCAGGAGAGCATTAGAATTTCTCATCGGGGATGACTGTGTTGAAGGGGTGGTCCCAGAACGTGGTGGTGATTCCAAAACCTGAAGAGAGAAATCAAGATTGCATCAGATAGATCTGACAAAAACAGAAGCCAGGGGAATCAAACCTAAAAATCAAATAGGATCTTGCTTTGTCTGAGCCCTGTATGTCTGTCATATTTCAGATTTCCTGCGCTCACCCGCTCTCTGGTGCTCAAAGTGATGCTTGACGTGGTAGGCCTTCAGGCTGTACATATACGAGCCCTTCTTTGGCGAGCCGTAGTGAAGGTAGTAGTGGATCATATCGTACACCACGTAGCCACACAGCCCTCCAACAAACACGCACTTCCCCAGAATATCTGGGAGCATGCTGAGTAGGACTAGATAGAAACTTGCCACCACTAAGGAAGCCAGGCCGGGGGGGAAGACCAGCCGAGAACCGTCAAATGGAGACTGTGGAGGAAGAAGTTTGGGTCATACACTGAGACTTGACCACTCTTATAAACTAGCAAAAATTTCTGTGTATGCTTGCTGACACAGATGAGAGGTTCAAAAGCTGAATTCATCAAAACATGTAGACATTAGTTTTCCCTGTTTTTTAAATTGGTTAGTTTTAATGGAGAATCAAAAACATTTATGGCTATTAATAGGTTTATGTGTATTATGATCAGAAACTTTAATGACTAATTGAAGCTTTGTGCAATAGGGACAAAGTTCATCATCAACAAGAAAGGTCATGAATGATTACTTCTTTTTTTGTGCCATAAAGGCCTACAGCATAACAAATAAGAGTTTTATTATTTGTGTACCTTGTGGTGCTGTCCATGCAGGAGAAAGTGTAGAGTAATGAGGTAATAGTTATGGGCTGGAGGTTTCATGTGAAAGACAAAGCGATGGATGCAGTACTCCATGAATGACCACAAGAACCAGCCCGCCAAAAACAGCAGCGGGAATATGTATTTGTGGATCGTGACGGAGAAGTCTGGGAACCCACACACACACACACACACACAGATATGGACATAGATATATACAAATACATTAACTACAAACAAAAATTATGAAAAACAAATGTGTTGTGCGGTTTTACGCAAATAGGAATATGGATGTGTAAATGAAAATGAAAGTGTGCAAGAGTCTCTGGTGCTTATATGTTCATAACATGAGCATGCATTATATATTGTGTGTGCAGGCAGTCACTTGTGTGTGTTACCTGAAGTTAGAGCTACCCTGGTGGTGCCCAGTGCCAGGGTGGTGTAGCAGTGCCAACTGAGACAAAACACAATAGGAAGCCACACCACTGGTACCCAGTACCTGTAGCAAGAAGAGAGCATATATTAATATGGTCACATACAGATTTGGTTTCTGTTCTTTTTTTCTGTAGGTAGTTTTCATGAACTGTTCAGGTGTTCCAACAGATTCAGGTTAGTGACAACAGTAAATATACCAAGGTTCTGCCTCACACCAATTTATAATAATTGGTATTTATTTCAAATCAGGTGACTCTATGGACTTTTCATGTACCCCCTTGCATCTGCAAAACTGCCCCATGGGTTACGAATACCACTGATTGGAAATTACTTGTTTAGTCAATAGATACAATAACCGAGTCAACATGTCTCATGCAGCAACACTTCAATTATAGACAAATAAAAATGCATCACTACATTGGTTTAGGTTAAATTTATCACATTTTTTTTTACATCTGGGAATAACACACATTACTATGGAAACTTCAGGAATGGTAATCCAATGTGTGCATTGACGCATGTCTCTAACAGTGAAAGCCATGCCTGTTTTGGTTGCAAGTCAACAATTAGCAGCATTTTCATCTTATCCCATTCTCTTCAATCATAAGAAGAGAATGGGATACAGTCTTACCAGGAAGTCTTGGTGCTGGCCTCTAGGAGGGAGTTTCCAAACAGTCTGATTGGTCTATCAACTGGCTGGTGAACCCATGCATCATATTTATCTCCGAGATGGCCTACCTGCCATACCAGGGGCTTCCGCCAGTCCACCAAATCCTGTAGAGACAAAACCAATTAGAAATTAGTGACTCACATTCTGTACAGGAGGAAGCTCACATCCAGTGTTGTAACAGCAACGGAGAATCACTTAGTTAACTCCAGCAGGTGGCGGCAGAGTCAACAGATTAACAGATTAACAGCACTTCGATGGTTCAAACCAGGAAGTGACTAGGCGGGAAAAAGATGATCATGAGTCAGAACTCAAAACTTATTTATGATGAAAATGAATCCAGTCAAACCATGGCTAGAGTAGAAGATGTCATCACATTAAAGCAGACAGACAACATTTTAATCTTAATTTCAATTACACTGCTCCTGACGCATCATGTGACCATTATGTGTCTCTCACTTATGATACCTCTCTGAGGACATTTGTATCAGGTACGGACTAACACAGTTACCTGAGGCAGATAACTCTTGAGTTGAGTATTGAGTCTCAGGCTGATTTAAAGTAATTACAGGATTAGATAACTCCATTTAGACACAAAGAAATCCAAAGACTGTCTCTCCTCACCTCTAAATTCTACCACACAATGTGCAGCCACTGTGTCGGACATATCCACGTTCCACACCTAGCATCATGCAAATGAATTCGCTCCCACTGACAGCTCAGCATGCTATGGCACTTTTGCTGGCACCGACTGGTCAGCTACCTGTCATATCAACGTAGGGTTTACAAGTTCACAACCGCAGAGCCTTGCTTCGTAACACCCATCTCATTTATTACCGCTGTTCACTCTGGACAAAGTGATAAATGCAGCATGGATAAGGTTACACCAAAAATAACTGCAATCTGCAAAAAAAAACATTGGTAAAAAAATACTTAAACATGTTATCAACTTAATTCATATTTTGCACAATAGCTAGAAAACACTTATTTTCTATAGGATGTTTGCACACAAAACTGATTTATCACATTTTGGCCGTTAATCAGAAGGTCGGCGGTTCGATCCCTGGCTCCCCCTGGTTGCGTGTCGAAGTGTCCTTGGGCAAGATACTGAACCCTGATTTGAATGAGTTTGAATGTTAGTTTCCGTTTGAGCACTTAGGCTCAGTGTATGAATGAGTGTGAATGTTAGTTTCCGTTTGAGCACTTAGGCTCAGTGTATGAATGCGTGTGACTGGTGAATGCAGATGTAGTGTAAAAGCGCTTTGTGTGGTCGAAAAGACTAGAAAGGCGCTATACAAGTACGGAGCATTTACATTTACATTCACCCGTGCAATAAGTCCATTTGTGAAATTTCCTCACTACTATTTCACGGTCTACTGTTAGTGGTATTATAACAAAGGAGAAGCGATTGGAAACAACAGAAACTCGAAGCAGAAGTCAACAACTTTCTGCAGAGCCAATAGCTACAGACCTCCAAATGTTGTGTGGCCTTCAGATTAGCTCAAGAACAGTGCATAGAGAGCTTCATGGAATGGGTTTCCGTGGCCGAGCAGCTGCACTAGCAGCTGGATGCAGTGCTGTAAAGCACGCCGCCACTGGCCACTCGAGCAGTGGAGATGTGTTCTCTGGAGTGACGAATCACGCTTCTCTGTCTGGCAATCCGATGGACGAGTCTGAGTTTGGCGGTTGCCAGGAGAACGGTAATTGCCTGACTGCATTGTGCCAAGTGTAAAGTTCAGTGGAGGGGGAGATTATGGTGTGGGGTTGTTTTTCAGGGGTTGGGCTTGGCTCCTTAGTTCCAGTTAAAGGAACTGTTAATGCTTCAGCATACCAAGACATCTTTGACAATTTCATGCTCCCAACTTTGTGGAAGCGGTTTAGGGATGGCCCCTTCCTGTTCCAACATGATTGCGGACCAGTGCACAAAGCAAGGTCCATAAAGACATGTAGTTTGGTGTGGAGTCCTGACTTCAACCCGATAGAACACCTTTGGGATGAATTAGAGCGGAGACTGCGAGCCAGGCCTTCTCGTCCAACATCTGGGCCTGACCTCACAAATCTGCTTCTAGAAGAATGGTCTAAAATTCCCGCGAACACACTCCTAAACCTTGTGGACAGCCTTTCCAAGAATAGTTGAAGCTGTTATAGCTGCAAAGGTGGGCCAACTCCATATTAAACCCTCCAGATTAAGAATGGGATGTCATTACCCTTCATTTGCAGGTGTATGTGTATCACCTGCTTATCAACAGGCCTGTACTCCATCTTTAATCTTTAGATCTTTAGAAGACATTTAGTCTCGTATATAAAAAAAAAGAAGTGAAATCTCCTGTCACATGGTGAGTATGGTCAGGATAAGCACACTTGTGACAAGAGTAAGAACTTCCCACAAACAAGTGTTTATAGTTTTAACCAAGGAGGAAGTAGTAATCTACCAACTATCAACTACCATCAAGAATATTGTACTTAATTTAAGACTCACTGACATGTCACATGACAAACACCACATGGATTTAATGTAATTTATACTGTAGCATACTAATATCTCGAATTTATCAAGGATTTACGCTGTTATCTACATCAAACATAACATGGTGGAAAAACATGAGACATAAGAAGCAGACTGTTACGTAAATCACTATCACACTGGCATTTGCTGATCTTCCTGTTAAATATGAACAACAATGATTTACAGTCAATATTTATTCTAAAAAACTAAGAATTAATGAAGATGAAGTGTGCTCATAGGAACAAAAATGAAGATGCTGGTTTCTGTAACAAAAATTAACTGATCAAAAAAGACAAAAGAAAACACGTGCACTGCATGTGCTTTAGTGAAACCATGCCTCACATTCCTGAGTGAGAAAATGTGGTTAAGATACAAAGACACACACACACACACACACACACACACACACACAGCTTGCCTGATACTTGAGTCAAAAGAGTGAGATGAGACTCCTAAATAATGTGACTGCAGTGGCATTCCTGTTTTACCTGTTTGCGCTTCCTGCAAAAACTGTATGTGTAGACCATTTCAACAATGTGATGTCATAAAATAAGGTTTAACTCAACAATACCTGAGCGGTACCTAAGTTAGAGACAGATCTGGTCAACAGTCCAAACAGTTGGTGTGAATAATTGTCCAGACATATTATTTACAAAATCACATAATAAAAGTTTATGAAAAACATTTTTATGATGTACAGTAGCTAATGTGTATTTTATTTTTTCATTACCACACAGGGTAGCACAGCACAAGTGTGGTGATAACACTGCAGCCAGACTAAAACAAAGCACACAGCAGCTCTGTGGTGGGAGTGTCCCACGCACATGATTTATTCTACAGTGACGAGGGATTTATTTAATCATCAGTTGTATTGGAACAACTGAATGATTTGGTGTAGCTGAAAAGACAGAAGCACTGCAAATCATTAAATGTTCACGAGGCGCAGTCAGTTTATGATGTTAACAGTGAAGAGAGGAGCATCTCACTCAATCCACTGATGCCTGGCAACAGGGTGAACAAGATGGACTCGTTCTGTCAGCACATTGTGCTGTGCAAGGACCTGGTGTGCTGATATAACTGCAGCAGAAAAACACATGACATCAGCGTGATTTAAATGACTGAATGAATGCGTCATTATGCGTCTATGAATATGTGACAGATGTACTTGCAAGGACAAACTGCAACACTTGTTTAAGGAGACAGTTTAAGGTTAATAGTTAAGTTGTGAATTGGTTTAGTATTCAAGTTGAAGGGGGAGAATTTGCACATGGTCGAGGGTTAAGGTTAGTTGTTATGACATCGATGCCACTAATGCATGTGTGTGTTTGTGCATGTTTGCACTAGGCATTCTCTTGCCAAGCAGTGTGAGAACTCCAGTCTACTAACAAACAGGGACAGTTTAGGAATGAGGCAGGGTGAACAACCTGGTGAATGTTCACTCTTCCTCTACCCCTCATCACTAGCGCGTGTACACACATGCACACACGCGCACACACACACACACACACACACACACACACACACACACACACACCTTGCTCGGGTCCACAGAGCTGCAGAGGTTGAACGGTGAACTCAAGTCCTCCTCTTCCATCTTCTTGTCTGTTGTCTTTTCTGCCGCCTTGTCCTCTGTCTGTTCACTGGCCTCCCTTCTCTCTCTCAGAGTCTGAAGAACAACAGGACAAAAGCAGCCATCATTAACAACAGAAAGGTGGAAACATGAGCAGAGCTGTGACAAAAATGGACATCTGGATGTCTCTTTTGTTTCTCCTATACTGACAGGTGGTTAAAGTGGTCCTCACCAAGCCTCTCGGGTCTTTTCCAATGATTTCATTTCATTTTGCAAAAGTCATACACAGATACAGGATCTGTTCATATAGTGCCTATCAAATTAAGCTATAGTATAGTCAAGACGGACAAACACTGACCTGTGCAAGCGTGCTATGTGTCACACAGTCCATTATTATCGAGTGGCTGCCCTTTGTTCTTCTATGTTGAGTGTAACCTAATCACCGTTTCATATCCTTCATGGCTATGGCACATGTGACATTTACAATCTTCAACCTTTGTATAGCTAAAACAACAACCAGCTGCAACTGGTGTTTCTGTCTCCGTATCCACAGGTAAATGGGCAAAACCTCATTCAACACTCCACGCTCATCAACCATTGATCAGACATGATGTTTAGATGATTCTGCTGCCCATTTAGAGTTAAAACTGTGGTAGGCAACTTTGGAGAAACCAACAAGAGACAGTTAGATTTTTAAAGTATCACACCCACACCCTCCCTTCAGGCCTCACTCCAAGGTTACTCCCCTAAAACACATGTTCATGCGCAGGGAGTGCACAGGCAGAGTGCACGCAGGTAGGCAGGTAAGCAAGCTGTGCTAATTATGGTCCTGGGACAGCCACAGTTACCAGATTGTGTCAGAGCATTTGATTTATGGATTGCTGTTGGTATGACAGCATCATTCAATCAATTTCAATAAATATAACAATAAAATGCTTTTGAAATAAATTGCCAAACCCAGCTTTAATATTGTCTTTCTTGCTAAGATGGGTAATTTTCTGAAGTGTAGCTTTTAGGTTTCTAATCTGTGATTGATTTACAAGACAAAATGAGAGAGTCATGGTCCACACTGCAACTGTGGCCGATAAACTAGTTCTACCTGATCCACATTAAACAGGCAGACTGTAGGCACTCAGCAACATGGGCTGCGGTTAGAAAGATGGTGTGGGCCATAATGTAACAGCTGCAGAGAAGAATATGCTGTCCATCACTAAGTGTGACTATGTTAAAGGTGCATTACTGCTTTTCTAATCAGATTTCTTCACTGACTTCTGCAGTGAAACTAATAAAAAAGGCTGTTGCACAAAGCATTAGTGGCTTGTATACAGTCACTTATCCTGACAACTACAACTAACAACTAACTGTGACTGCCTGACACACACTGCTGCGGATTTATAAAAGCACAGCCTGTTGTTTTATATGGTGCCCATTTGCAATAGAAGCACTGGATATAGATAGGTTAAACTCGAGTCACAAAATATTCTTAAATAATTTTGACTGAGAACTATGATAGAAATGTCTTATTTCTACATAAACCGTGCAAAGAAAATGCTTTATATGTCAAAGGTCCCACAAACAGTTTCACTTTTATTTTTCATAACAGATTGTAAATAAATTTTGAATGAGGAAAAAAATTTGCTTTTACAAGCAGATCCATTTTCACGTCAAAAAAACTATTTAAAAAAGTATAAAAATCTATATTTGAAAAACTATCTAAACTTTGATGAATTGACACAAATCAAATTAGCCAAAACTCAACCAGTTAGCAGTTGGGTTGCAGTTCATGTGAAGCAAAAGGCAGCATCAATGTAGACACAGCAAATTAAAAGACAGCTGCAGATCCGCACTGAGCGGCATGAACAGAGGTGAAATCTCCCTATTACACTCATTTCACCAAGACTTTATACAGTTTCCACTTGTTACTGTGGTTAACTGTTTACGCTAGCCATGCCACAAGATATAAACAGCTCAATACAGGAGATGCAAATGGAAGCAGTAAATTTAGCCATATTGAAGAAGACAGTGTGTTTGAAATATATGATAACATTTAGTGAGCTCACATGATACATGATACTGGCAGACAGACAGTGAATTAGGCTGCAGGAGTAGTTTGAAAAGTGGTGATTTATGTACTTTGTAGTGGATCAGCCAGTGTGGATTTGTTCATTTTATATCAAATAAATTTGGAGGTCCCAAATTCGTTCTCTCTCCCTGAGAGAAAGAAAAGGAGGGGGGTTAAGATATCAACCCTCAACAGACGGCTGAAGCGATCCCAAAGTAAAGGTTTGCTTTCCCTAAGTGCTGTTTTGGGCAGTTTGATAAAAACTTGCCACCTTTGGTGCAGCCGAGATAAGACTCGGTGCCTGACTGTTAAAATGACAAATGCTAACACTAACCAGGAATTAACTTTCTCCTGAACAGCCTATCAGAACTCTTTTAGGAGGGAGGGCAGGAAACCCTAAACTACCCCACCACACACGTAACCATGGCAACTGACCTTCCTCTTTGTTTAATTACCTCACATCAAAAGATATTCTCCTCTTCACACCCAGATGTGAATTGGTGACAAACTCCAGACGCCGGAGAAAGGACACAGTCCACATTCCTTTGTGTGGACAAAGGAATACTGTCTCCTCAAAACTTGCGTTACCTTGTTTAATTAAATAATCTCTGTTAAGTTACTAAACAGGTATCTCCACTCCATTAGAGTAGCTATATTACTGTGTTGTTGCTATTGAAAAGAAGAATCCATATAAGTTAATTTCGCAGTGTTTTAATTTTCAGCAATGATTCCTGACATTTGTTTAAGTGATGTTTTTAACTAATGCTTTATTTCCAGCTCCTTCTGACTCCTTATACTTAGAAATGATATATAACTGAAATGTTATCCTGTGTTAAATGATTAATTTCCCCAGCTCCTAAGCAAATGATTGTTTAAAGAAATAATCATTTGCTATCTTCAGTCTCCTCATGGAACCAGAGTTACCCAAGAGGAAAAATAAGTATTACATGCCATCGATCTTAAATGCCGTTTTTGATGTATAATTGTCACTCTGTATTTATCCGTTCATAATCTGATGCCATGTTGGTGTAACTTGGCTTATATTCTCCAAGTAAGAATGTGTAACAGCCAATATTATCCAGGAAGCTAGTTAAGTTCCTTTCATCCGATGTGATTCCTATACAATGCTAACCATTTTTAATGTTTAACTGCTGACAATAACTTAATAGTTTCCTTCTTAGCAAATGCTTAAAACCAAGAACGGTATAACCGTTTGACATTAAAGGTTTGATTGTGGGAAGATATTTGATTAAAACACACGCAAAAAGACTTTTAAAATAGACTTTACAGTTAAACACGCCCCAAGGGGCCAGACAATCAAATCAGCAGAGCTCTTTGTTGCTCGCTCTCTTTTTGCTCTTTGCTCTTCTCCTCACTTCCTTGGACTTCAGCACGCGCTCAGTGTCCTCCGTCTCCCAGCAACGCCCTAAGAAGTCCGGCCCGGCTTGCAACGAAGATTCCTTTGTTCTTTTCAAGCCACACACGTGAAGCGCCGCAACCTCGGCTTTTCCCTCGTTTGCAGCAACTAACTTGCTTTATATTTTCTTCTGTTTTGTTTGTTAAAAGTTATCAGACCGTTAAGTCACACAATTTTAATTAAAGAACGACCAAGTTCTTTTAAGCTTTATTCCGTCGAGTTAACTTACACTGCTCCCACCGAAGGACGGACCCAGCCACGTGGGCCCGTCTTGCCAGCAGTAACCCAAAGGACATCCAAACCAGAACAGAGCCTAACTGCCAGGCCGAGGACGGTCGCCACTGGAGTGTTTTTCTTCATTCAGCCACGGAGAACCCCTGGAAATTTCCCTAGCAGAAAGCCAAGAATCAGGCAGCTAGCGTGGGGACCCGTGCAACCGGCCTAAGGCAGGCCAACGACACCCAGTAAGGCAAACCAAGGCATTTTGTGGTTGAGTTGATGTCCAATAGTCTGTTAATCCATTATCTTTAATCCATAAAACTCATAGCCAAATTTAACTGAGTTATTATCATAGTTTGCGTTTATTAGTTGCCCTTATGAATCAGGGCCTCAGGTTTGTTTAGCCATTGTTTATTCCTTTGATGTATATTTAACCGCATTTATATCCACCTTTAGTTAGTTAATAAATTTCACCGTAATCACAGGAATTGTGTGTGTGTATTGTTTAACTCCAAGTCCCTGTCACGGAGGACTTACTCTTTCGACATGAGATTGACTGATTCATTTAAGATAATTGAGCAATTATTAACTAACTGATCACTAGTGAATAGTTGTATAATTATTAAAACCTATACCCAGGGAGTCCTGGAGGGCCTGGGCGAACGGAATTCGGGTGGTACCCCGCGAACGAGAGTTTATGAATAATTCGGAATATTAATAGTCATTATTTGTCTTATTACAAAAGTAGGTATGCTACAACTTTTTGCAGTTAAGCCAAGTTGATTCCATTTTAACTATGAACCTGTCTGAAATATTATCTTTATCTGACTAAACATTCAATATACAAATTCATTGCAGTAAAACTCATTATTATCTCCCTTCTCTGATCTGCAATTGGCTGCCTCTACTCATCTTGAGTCTGCCACTGGCTGTCAGTTCCCGTAAGTCAAGTGACATATTTTCAGCTAGTTGGTTTCAGACAAGCACACATAAAACTCAACACACACACACGCACATTCTATTTCATTTTATTTGTGATAACTTTATGTTGGTGAAAGCAATGAGCAGACACACCCTCTGTATCAGCAGCAGCAGCAGCCAAAGCCAGAGTGAGTGAGCCTGTGAGTAATGAGTGTGTGAGTGAGTGATGTTTAATAAGATCTACCTTGTTCCACTTCGTACATAAGGGACTGGCTAAGCAAAGATGACCGGTGCTCTGTGCCATCAATTAATTCTGCAGGTGTGGTGCATTCTGGGGGGTGTGGCCAGTATCGAGAACATATCTCACAAGGGAAGAGTTCAGCGCTGACAGAACGTAGCAAAACATTTTTTTCAATGGAAACGGTGGTGCCTCGAACACCCTGTTGTGTACGCAAGCGCATAGCATTTTCCTGCCTT